GATGTTATTTATAGAAAATGTAACAACTGGAACGTAACTTCCCTGGATCAGTATCGTACAGTCACGTGGTACACTGGCAGTAATGTAAGATTAGACATCAAAGTCAAAGGACAGTTAATACCTATTTGGCATAAATTTGCATTCTCTTATAAAAAACATGTTGTGATTATTAAAGGTAATCCCCTACACGATGCCGTGCTAGTGCATGTGCACTGAATGCAGAAATATCACACTGGACCAACGTCTGTGTGACCAAATCAGTGATTTTCTACCATGAATCCTCCCAGTCTGGCATTGCAGTATGTACTTTGATACTATGGGGCGCCGCCAACGTGACTCTCAACCCCCTAATGCATGGGAAGAGGTGCTAACCTTTAAGTTACGCATGGCTTTCCAATATATTTGTTTTACAAATATTGGGATGAAATAAAATTTACAATCTGTTAATTTACTTTTTTTTAATAAATTATGCGGGTGTCGTAAAAGTTAGCATCATATTGGCATTATTCTGTTTGCGCTGATAATACAACGTGATAACAGACGTGGTGGGTGAGGTGAAGTGAACGTTCTTGTTTATGTTTCTAATCTGTGGCAATTAGACCACCAGTAAATGCTTATCCTATGGAAAAGTGGGTTATCACTAATCAGGATATATAGTGACATTACCTTCCAATCCCTATCCTGCCAGCCCTATGTACATTAACAGTGACTTGACCAGATAAGGGTTAAAAGTAATAACTTAGCGCTGACTTTGTTTTTTTATAGTGATGAGACACACTCTGTGATTCAATATTAAAAAATAATTTATTGAAATTGTTTTGTTATACCAGTGAACATAAAAAAAACCTTTCTCAGAAAATAAACTATACATGGGGTCCTGCCCTCAGTATTTCTCAACAACTAATAAAGTGTTTGATATTTATATATATGAACGCAAATTAAATATTTATTAATGATCAACATTGGCAGTATACACATCGAAGTATTTACTTGTCAAAACTTAAAATGTCAATTTATTGGAATCCCCCAATACCAGCTTCATCCTCTTGTGTTGGAATTATTGGCTCGTCAGTGAATTGTGGTGGCAGATCTGATGGACGTGGAGGGTAACCTGATGGACGTGGTGGGTGGCCTGATGGACGTGGTGGATGACCGGATGGACGTGGAGGGTGACCTGATGGACGTGGAGGGTGACCTGATGGACGTGGTGGATGACCTGATGGACGTGGAGGATGACCGGATGGACGTGGTGGCATTCCACTCGGACGCGGTTTGCAGGGACGCGATCCATGAGGTCTTCTTCCTTGGCCCCGACGCTGTGTGTCATCATTGTTGTTCACGGCGTCACCAACAAATGGCTCCTCTGGGATTTCATCGTCATCTACATCATCACAGTCCTCCTCCTCGGGTCTGAGTGGTGGCTTTGGTTTAACTGCACCTTCTGGTATGTCTGAATCGTCAGGTCGCCCAGGCCTATCTTCACCTACCGGTTTGTCTGGTCTCTCTGGTTGGCCTGGTCTGTCTGCGCCGTCTGGCTTCTCAGGACGCACCGACCCTAAACTACCATCTCCAATGGGACGTTCTGGTTGTTGTGATTGCTGTGGGCGTAATCTGAATGAACCAACACGGCGTTTTTCACGGCGAATAATTCCATCAGTATCGCCATCGGCATCTACGTCTGGACGTTCTGGTCTGTCTTCTTGTTTTGGATGATGGGGAGCACCGTTTCCTACCCCAGGATTATGTGTAGGTCCATCTCGAGGGTGGTCCGATTTGATTTCATCATCAACGTCTCTCGGTGGTGGATCAATGCGACCATTCGAATGTCCTCGTACAGGTAGACTAGTTACCAAGGTAACTGTCACTGCAAGGCATACAAGTAATGTCACATATATCTTCATGATTTGTCTGTAAATGAGAACAATGAATACAATTTAAAACTATTATTCTGTTGGCCCATGCGTAATTTATAGACATACTATGATTAGGATATTTACTATAAGGTTATAAATCCAAGTACTTTACTTCACGTCGAAAGTAGATTTTCCAAATTCTACTACATTACATCTACTACAGTCAATGCATTAATTATTCACTGTGTTTTAATTTTGCTATTTTCGATGATAGGTAAAATCCGCTAAATTAAATCTACATGAACATGTAAAATAACAACAAAATTCATTGACAAATTCGGGGAATTACAACACAGTGAATATGTCCATTTAATGAAAATAGTGAAATTAAAAGTCAGATAAAACAAATGGTTTTATAGTACATTACAATTCGTGTAATATGGGGCGATATTTTATTGAAGAGGATTTGATAATAACTTTACGAGAATTGGAGAAACCGGGTCATACACAACTATACAAATACGCATTGCACTCACCAGTCGTACAGATAATTTCTTCAACGAGAGTCTTCAGTCAAACTATTTGGGTATCTTGAGTTCTTCTCTGAGACGCTTTCAAGTTCTGCTGAAACTGAGAACACCTTCCCGATATTTATGCACTGTTCTGCAAGAGTTCGGGATATCTCCATTGTTGACATGCTTTGCGTCACTGACATTGTGACCGAGATGTCGTGCCTGTCGCTATTCTTAGTCACGGTGAAATGACTCATAGGTAGTGATTACCGGGTATCCCAACCAAGCACCTTTGTTATACAGCTGTTTAAGCGGTAAGGCGTAATGTAAACAATGTGAGAGTCTGTGCTAACCACATGCAGTGTAGGTATTATCATGCAGGTATAACCAGACCTCCATGATATTATCAAGACATAATATATACAATTATTCAGAGCTGTCTCAAAATGTTTAGGCATTTACGTTACACGCGTGCGTACATTCATGCACTGGTCTACACAGGATCGAGATGTCTCTTTTGTTGGCACGCTTTGCGTCACTTATTGTCATTGTCAGAGACCTAGATATTGTGTTTGTGCTATTCTTAGTCACAAAGCAATGACTCATGCGTAGTTAATATCGGGTTACCCTGCCAGGTATCTTTGTTATGCAAACCGTCATAACGTTTGGAAGGCATACACAGATTTGGAAGGTCGTCATGTGTCGTAAATTGCTGTCTTTGATCATTGCAAAACAGGCCAGGCTGAGTAACTACGTAAAACAGGACAGCTACCAATAGTGTGATGCAATTCAAAATATGCTTTTAGTTTGTTTTTTCTGTAATAAATATTACCATAATTCTAAAAACTAGCAAGTCAAGCAAGGTAACTGTTTGTTGTCCACATCCAAGAGAGAAAATATTTCTTGCAGATTCAGAAGTTAAATAAAAATAAATAGAGGACAATCAAACGTGTCTAACACGATACGGGATTGGTGCTGAAAAGAACATTGCAGCTTCGTATGTTTACTGTCAAATCTCGTGACTTCATTCATACTAGTGTACCATGTGTACAGAAAGCAATCACTTTGCGAATGAGAAATAACGTCTATAATTTTAAACGGAAAATTATCAATTGACTGTTGATGATTGTTTTTTTTTTCAATACTATTAATATTAATGTGAACACAAGTGTGAAATATTGAACAAGGTCAAAGGTCAAAATTTTAGATAAATGCATTTCATTTGCATTCATGCATTTGGGCCGCCGAATGACAATGTGGGAAGTTACTCTTCATAAAAGTGATCAATGACAGTGGATCAGTGATCTTACTCTAATGCGTTCGATCAGACATGAAGACTGTTTTACTTCGGTTAACGCATGTGCAAAAAAATATATATTAAAAATATACATAGAAATTGGATTGGCCTTACGCACTAAAATACATTCATTGGCTAAATGACGACTGAAGGGCCTTACATAAATGTGACGTCATGCGTCGGACGGCTATGGGCTAGAACCTTTTAGCTGACCGAGACGATGTGGATGCCAGAGTTCGATAGCGCCTGCCGGACGGTAGAAGTTCGAACAAATCATGCGATGATTCGTTCGGCTCGTTTGTCCGGGCGTTTCTAGTACACATCGCATAGAGGGGAAAGTTGGATCCCAATAATACGCGACGCGCCCGCCACTACACCGTCCATGAGCCTCTGGTCTTCGTAACTGATGTTACCAAACCACACCGTGACGGAGAGCATCAAGATACTCTCGATTACGGAGCGGTAACATTTAAGCAGCAGAGCAGTCTTCGAATTAAACTTTTCAATCTACGAAGGAAGAAAATCCGACGCTGGGCCTTCATGACACAGTGCCCGAGATGCGCCGACCAAGTCAAGTCGCTGGATATGTATGCCGAGAAACTTGAAGCAGTCTACGCGCTCCAACTCCGAGCCGTCAATGACCAATGAAGAGATAGGCGTCTTTTTCAAACGGAAATTGACGACCATCTCCTTCGTTTTGGCTACATTCAGCTGGAGGTTGTTCTCAGCACAGCACCCAACCAGCTCGTCGATCAGGCGGCGGTAGTCGCGTCCATCTGCGCCTCGAATTAGCCTAGCGACGGTCGTGTCATCCGCGAATTTCACAATTAAATGTTTTCCACTGCGAGATATGCAATATGACGTCATCAAAAAATAGGGGAAGGGGTTCAATACACAGCCCTGGGACTCCCCTGTGTTCAAAGTCATCGAGCTTGAAAACTTTGTGCCGATTTTCACAACTAGGGGTCGCTGTGCAAGAAAGTACAAGACACAATCGCAAATACTTCATGTCAACCCTAGATTTAACATTCTTTCGTATTAAAAGCACAACTAAAATCAATGAAAAAAAGCCTAGAAAATACTATGATTACTATTAATTTCCACAATGAACTAAGATCGAGTTCGGTATTGGCTTATGAAGGATCCAAGTTTCTATAAGTTGCCAGCGTACACAGACTGGGGTAGATTACTATATTTTTAAATTAATATGAGTGACCCTACCATATAATTTATATTAAACGAGATGAGTATTGTTTTATATATTCCGAGCCAGAACGCAACTTTACACCATAAGTTTAAAGTGATATACCAGGAACTACAATGAAGGTTCAAATACATTTTTAATAATAATAATAATCCACTGATAAGCAACATTTTGTGAAACAGCCACAACACTTACTATTGGCTTATTTTGAGATACTAGTAGTCATTGCATGGACCAATCAGATTACCGGGATTTGTATTAAGTAGTATAAAGTTACTGCATATACAATTATTACACTCCTTTATTACACTGATATAAATACACATACTAGTAAAGCTCTTAATGGTAATACATTCAAAGTGCCTGAAAATACTGAGACAGAATATAGCAAAAGTACATTTCTGCATATGTAACCCGTATGTATTAGGTCAAAAAGTAGGTTTTGCTTCTCGAAAACTGCGCTTACGCATTTTTTTTTCTTTTTGCAATTCTGCGTACCGGCAAAGTGCGCCACCAATGGTAGAATGGTAGAAATATGTTGTTTTCTGTTTTAGAGGATGGTTTGTTGCTCCAGGTCAGCGTTTAATGTGTACTCGAGAGCATTAGTAAAATGTGTTAAAAGTTGAACTAATATTGTGTCGAAGAAAAATTGGGTCACCACATCTATTTCGCATTTTCCGGGGACGAGAAGCAAAGTCTTATTTTTTTGCCTAACATACATATTTTCATAGACCACGTGACAGGATTCGATGGTTTTGTAAAGTGCATGAACGTCTGTCACGGGGTATCTTATTTAGACGTAGATGGAGCTGTTCAGAAGAGGTGCAATATTCCTCCCGATATTCGTGTTCATGTTGTTTCGGGTAAGATAGTTTGCCTAGATTATATTTGAAACAAACAACTAAGCGAACAGTGAACACAACTGATTCAACTTTATTCTGAATATGTTGCATACACGAAAATCACAAACAAATAATTGTACTAGTAACCTGAGCATACAAAAAAAGATATTGTTGAATCTGTCGATGGTATGTCGATACTATTAATACATTATTAAGGCTGTGTCGTCTCTACCTATAAAATGCACATCATATTTTTCAGAGATATATATCTCGCATATATATCACAAACAGTGATTTGAATACATTGTTACGAATTATCTCACTGCCGTGATCCTCTTCCATCAAATCGTGGTCTTTCTGAATTTATTTGTGCATTGTATCCGCCCTCCCTTGGTGGATGCCTGTGCTCTGGACGATGAGGGTCATCTCGTCCGTGGTGGTGGGGGTGGCGGTGTGGACTGCCGTTTCCATCACCAAGTGGTAGTCGGTCGTGTGGTCGATGTCGGCCTCCCGACCGTCCACCTGCTCGACCGCCTGGTCGACGCCCGGATCGTCGATTTCCGGAAGGACGACAAGACACCAAAGTAACTGCTACTACAAGGCATATTAGTATTATCAAAGAGATTCTCATGGCTGATCTCTGCAATATAAATACACAAATAGTTATAACTCCTGACTTGTCCCAATGGATGTGTATATAATGCCCATACTTCCAACAGTCAAATAAATACATTCATACAGTTCGCAGTACTGACAATAAACGTCACCGACAAGGGAACATGAATACCATAATCTGCGCATGCGTCATACGAATTATTAATACAGCTGATCCCGTAAACATTTCTTTACTCACCGTGTTTGATATCGTCTTTTAACCAATATCTAGCCGTCGGTAGTACTTGTTCTATCACCGAGATGTGCTATGACCTGGCAGAACTGCGCCAGCGTTAGTTATGCTCTGATTGTAATGTGCGAGACATTTCCTTTGTGCGAGTTTTTGTACACTCGGTACCAGTTACCATTTGTATAAAGATGGGCTCACAACCATGACTATTTAAAACACCGTGAATGCGATTTTGTTATGCAAAATCAAACATTAGGCTGTAGCGTCGAAAACAGTTTGAAGGCTGGCAGAGGTCACGTTTTATACATACATACACATGTCTGAATTACAAAAATAAAATAATGAACACATACTATAATATTTTGATACACTGACCTCGGGCACTGACCGCTCATCAACACGCCAACAAAAAAGAAACGTTTCTTCTTTCAAAACTCGGGGTTTGGTCCAACACCCAATCATGCATGGCAAGAAAAAAAAAGATCATTAGAGTGTAACTGTCCGATATTTAACCGTTGTCTCATATGTCTTACAGGTGTCAAGATGTTTGCCAGGGCGCCACTTTCTGGCTAATATTTTTTTCAATTTGTCGTTTCAAATCTATTTGTGAGGTTTATGAAATGATACATAGTGGGACGGTCTCCCTATTGTACATTTCACGCAGTAGTAGCTGTAATCGTTCAATCTATCAACCACGTGACATTCAAGTACAAAATCACCCTGGTATGTACGCGCTCAAGAAACTGATGGCTGCGGATCACTGGTTATATAATGCTTGTAATAGCCAAAGTCGGCGAACTTCGTCATGATGTTAGTCTATCTCGCTGTGTTATTGCCTCTGACTAAGAACACTAGAACAGATGAAGAAATCCTAATCATCTGAAATTTCTTTTTCGAACTTTGAATGATATCTAAAATTCTGGGCAAGCATATAGATATAATGTTTAACAACAGTGAGAGTAGTATGTCATTATTTGTTAAGCATTTCTCTAGGTAGTTATGCGATATATTTTTATAGTTGTTGGATTCCAGCACAGACCAGATATTTTATTACAATGCAATAATAAGTTGTTTTCCACCTCTGGCTTTACCAGAATCGGAACTAATAATTTAAACAACAGATATTTCATTAAACGAAGACAAACGAAATAAATAAGCATTATTATCTTTCTAGCAGAAACATACATTATCTTTATACCGATCACTCTATTTATATTTGATTTGTTTGATTTTAATATTTAGTTAATTGGTTGAATTTATTAGAAATTAAAGGTGATTGATAGATGATCTGATTTGGGTCTATCACTGCAGGAATACCCACATTCCCAATATGTTCACATTGTATTAGTATATACTTAATTGCACTATCTCTATGTTTTTTATGCGAGTGAAATACCCCCCCCCCCCACGATTCCGATTATCAAAAGACGAGCATTAACAATAGGAAAAACAACGGTGTTTACATACCCAGTAATTTCAAAGCAGCCTTTATGCGTATTGCAAGTCTTCTCGTCCGAATTGGCAAATGCAACTCATTACTGACGTCGTCAATTATCAAAAAAAACAAAAAAAAACACAATTAATATTACGTTTAGATGACCAGCCAGGTAAGTTTGCAATACAAGCACTGAAATCACCACAAATAATGAATTTATCAGTTTATATATTTATTTATTTAATACAACCACGACAGCCATATAAGGCAAATAATAGTGGTGTATTAGTAGACACATTTGTTAAATACAATACAACAGTAAACAAAATTACAATTAGAAAATAATAGACTTAAGCTTCTGTTTTAAAGTAGACAGTCCCCGATTAAAAATTTCGCAGTTTATGTTGTTATTAAAACATCCTAGGCAAACGACTTAAAAACCCATTCTTAGTGACTTCAATGCGTCCAATTGGTACAATAAAAAGAGACATTTTCCTAAAACTACGTGGAGTATGTAAACTGAAAAAAGAAGATAATTTACAACGACTGTACAATCCTAAGACACACTGACACATAAAAACCATATCAAAATAATCTCTGCGTGCTGCTGACGTGGCTATATTTAGAGTATTGCACATAATTTCATAATATGTGTTCACGTCCCTGCCAACTTGTCTAACTAGAAATTTACAAAAAAATACGCTGAACTCTTTCAATGCGTTTTACATCAGTTTGATGGATACCATTCCATATAACGTTACAATATTCAAGCCTGTTTCGAATATAAGAAAAATAAATAACCTTCAACATTCTTTAAATTGGGTAATTAGCGGAATAACACGCTAGCTCGTTCTTTCAGGAGAGAAGTATAATACAACTAAATATATATATTTTTTTATATTCAACGAATAACCAATTAATATCGCTATGCGATGCATTTGTCTCATCCCGAATACAACTTACATGCTGCGAACAAAAATGATCAAAGATTCAAACCGGACAACCAAATTACTTTCATGTGGTTATTTATTTATTCAAATTTTTGTAATGCGAAAAAAGAAGGAGCACCTGATGAGGAGGAGAACAATCCAAATATAACTCCAAATTGATTCTCTCAAAATCAGTTGACAAAAGATGTCGTTGTTAAAAACCAGTATAAAAAGTGTCATGGTTTTATATTCGGTTACTGATGAACGACCAATCTGATTCCTAATATTCACGTTTTACTTATCACACACCTTAAAAATATGCTGGACAAATCAATCGATAAAATACAAAAACAATGCCACAATCAACGTCATTATTTTTTCATTTTCAATTAAAAGTTTAATCTTCAACGAGTAGAAATAACAAAATACGCTTTATAATAACACTAAAGGCGTACTGAAACTGATAAGCTGTTTTGTGATTTTCAATTAATGCCACGTGTAACTGCTCATAAATCGGTTCACATTATTGCATTACCATCCTAGAATGACGTTCAATGTACACGTTCTTCTACTTGTTGTTTGCAGTCGACTGTGCGCTAATCAACATATGCACGTGCGTGAAGTAAATTATGCGTCTGTTTCGTAAAAACCTTCATCATATCATGAATATATTAATAATCATTATGGGCATTCAAGCATACATTGCTAATCTGATCTATGTCTTCAGAATCCTGACTATGAAAGAAGAATGATGGAAACCACAGCTGAATGGAAACCAAATCTTACAGCCACTCCTATAATTTCAAATGGTCGATCCCTAACGCATATGCCTACAAAGTTGCAATCCGAAAACCCAGCGCCTAAAGTTAGCATTGAATGTCCAATTTGTGCAACACCCCACGGCTAAGATATATAACTACATGTATATCTTGCCGAATGTGCGTCATACTCTGAGCGTAGTTAAATTGACATCCGGAGACTTCCAACTAATGAAACGGGATACACTGATAACGGTTTCCCCGCTTCCCTCTCTTGAGTGCCGAATCACAGTAGACATCGATGAGGCGGCAGCCAGAAAGACGGACGATCCTGCAACAAAGTAATACGGGGATAATCTGTCAGCAGATCGGGTGATAAATTTATACGTTTACATTTGTCATCTCTGGCGCGTGATGGCGCTTTCCTGATTGTTAGTCGACCGACTTATTATTCCTTGCACGCAGTAACAGCTCGTATACTATATTTTTATTTCTACGTATACTATATTTTTATTTCTATGCTCGGCGGGAGGTTTCACGAGCCTCAAGATTTGCTAAGAAGTTTTCAATTTTTTTTACTATCACATTCAAGAGAATCTATTAACAGAAGGTACTTTAATGATTCATTGTTTCATCACCATAGACAAATTCATTTCTCTTTCTGTGGGTCTAGCTGCATTTTATAAATGAACTTAGAAAAAATAAATATTTATACCGACAAATTTGCTGATTTATATTCCCAAATTTTGATAAGCTATGTGCTAATGCTTGTGTATGGATCACAGTTCTGTTCATACGCATATTACAGACCAAATTTAATATTTACAAGAACTTTTTTGTGTTGGCAGGTAAATTGTTCTTTCACACATTAATAATTTTCATGTTATAAGTTTTATTGGGATAAATTTCAAAAATGTTTTTGACAGTATGTGATGTTTTCAGAGGCATGACTATCTACCTACAATCATTCGCAACATTTTATGGTAATTCGCATGGATGTGGTAAGGAGTGTTTCTTTTTTAATCCACGTTCGGAATCAGTCTGAAAACGGGGTCTTATGTTTTGACTTATTTGTGTTCGTATGTCCGTGCATCCGTGCGCCCGGCCTGTATCTTAGACGATCTGTTTCAAGACGGCCGAATGATGGCATTCAAAATTAAGCATTTATGGATGGATTTTTTTTAAACTTGTTACATACGTTGAACATTATGGGATTTTGATGAACCACATTTTATTTTTCAGATCCAATTTAAAATGGCCAACTGCCATAATTTGACTGATAATGTTCAAATCTTATATATTCATTATAGGTCATGTCATATATTTGTTTGACTATCTGATTCAAAATGTCCGAATGACTGAAAACCCATCTAAATCAAGCATTTCTGACATTCTGGAACCGGATCTTGGTCGTTTATGAATGAATTTTGTTCAAACTTGGTACATACATAAGACAGTATGGGTCATTGATACATGTCATTTTATTTTTCAAATTTGATTCAAACTGGCTGAATGTTAAATCTCCTTTAATTGAATAATCAAAATATCAAAGTTTCTGATAATTAGGCGATGTCGAAAATGTTCATACTACTTCATGAAACGGAACTGTCCTGATGATATATGGGATATAATATGACATTGTCATCAAAATGAAATGAACGAGATATTCACAACTGAGTAATCTAATCTCGGAAACTCGTTGACATGTAATATATTTCAGTATAATTGACATGTATGTCTTGTGACTGCGTCTTACGCTTATTGTGTTCTCGTGGGCAAAATCAACTTCATTAAGGCTTGTCGACATAATCAATCGAGGAGTGCTCAGATGTTACTGATTCTACTACTGGAACACGAGTGCTGTATAGTTGTAAGTTCACAGGTTGATATTTTCCCCCAGTTGTTGTCGACAGTTGATGTTGACCTTTATTGCGTCATTGCCTACAAGATCATTATCATCCACGATAGAGTGTAGCCCTGCAAACAATCTATACGCTTCTCCTGGTAATTATAACTAAAATATAACTAAATATAACTGGTAATTAAAACTGAAATATAACTAAATATGGTAGTAA